TAAAGTGGTCAAATGACAACATTTTATGGTTTTTGGCAGTGTACAGAAAAAATGAAGAGTTATGGGATATTTCCATTGAAAATTTCATTCAGAAGAGCTTGCAGGAGCACATTTTTATCAGGTAGATTGGGTATTGACTGAATTGGTTTCGATATTCCCAAAGAAGAGTATTTAGAATTTTTTTTCTTCAGTAACATCTTTTAAGTTCTTAAATGAGGTAAACAAAATGCAGTCTAAAAACAGTGGCACTAGAGCTAACAAAGTCTATACAGTAAAACTAATTAGATTTCAGAAAGTTGACTCCTCCTTGAGAAACACCCTCAAAATCTGTTACGTAATAAGTTAATGGTTATTCTTTGTACTATATTCAAGAAATAAAGCAAAGAATTGTAAATATGAAACAGATTTTCAACACCAAACAATTTCACTCTCTGTATCAGTTGCAAGAACAAAAATGGAGTATTGAGAGAACATTATGTTAATACAATAATGAAAATGAAATGTATATTTGGAATTCTAAAAAATATAATTCACATCCTAGCAAAATATATTGTGATTTCTATTCAAGTATTTTGCACTGCATTTAACTGTCATAGAACAGAACATGTTTTATTGAAGGCTGTAGCATGGCTTTATCTTGGTACTTCTGCATCATTAGAGTAATGGTTCAATATGGCTGTCCTGCTAACAGACTGGAATTGATCCATTGCCATTGCATCCCCATGCTCCTGGGGTAAATAAATACTGGTGAAATTCTCATCAACAACATCCTAATGAGGAGTTCCTGAAGAGGTCATGTTGAGCCAGTTGTACGTGGAACATGCAACCTTAACAAGCAATTCTGTTGTTTTTACTTTTAGGTCAATGGGTCTTTGCCTTTGGAATCCTGGCTTCAAGATTCTTCATCTTTCAGTTTTCAAAATATGTCTAGCTCTTGATAGTAGTTATTAAAACTTTTCGTTTCAGTAACTGAAAGGCTTTTTCCTGTAACTGAAAGACTTGCAAAAGCATCATTTCCCACGTAAAGTCCACCTTCAGACCAATTCAGCATATTTTTTCCATTGCAGTATTTTCAAATTGCATTTGACAGCACTATATTAAAAGTTTCTACTTTACTGCTTCAGATACATCTGACTATATTCAATCTGTAACCACCATTGTGAACAGGAGAATAATGGAGAAAGGATATGCCATTCTTTGCCCACAAAACAGTCAATGTATTCCTACATGGAATTAGGAAACTTCCATGTCAACTGCCACTCTTCTACATTGTTAGGAACCTTAAATGACACAGAGAACATTCAGGTTAAATACTACCAAAACAAAATGTAGGTTACTATTAAGTTTCTTTTCATTCAAGGACCAATCAATGCTGGCAGAATTTGGCAGGGGATGAAAACATCTCTCTTGACAGGGAGGAAAGGTGATGCCTGTCCTAGTGGGGCAGGTGATTTAACATCTGCTACAGAATGAGAATTTGCAAGCTGCTTTCATACCAACAGAAAACTGAACAACAATGTTGCCTCCAGTACTTCCAAAGAAATGTTTGAAGACGAAAGTTAAAACAAATCCTTTGTGTTTCCAGAAAGCTGTTTCACAACTTCATGAAATTGCATAAATGGCAACAGAAGTGGATGATGAATATAAATGCTTTGCAAAACATTGCATCCCAGCTTAAACTACCACTAACAAATTTTGGTATACTGTACAGTACTTCAAGAAAAAATAGTCTTATTACTCAAAAGATTGACCACTGTGGTATACCCATATTCATCTCCAAATATTTACCTGGAGTCTTCAAGCTGCTGTCAACTACCTCTTCATACTTTTGCTTACAGGGTGCATCCTCTTCTCAAAATCAACTAAGCCTAGAACAGTCCTCAATACTGACAATGACAAGAGAGCTAGTGTTTTTAAGGATGTTTTCACTTACAAGGTGTTTTGAATCTACAAATATTTTATGCATTAAAAATACATGTTGAAAGCAACTTACAATGCTAAGTTTTATTTATATATGGTTTGACTCCCATTTATTTATTTATTCATTAAAGTAAGTAAAAAGTCGATGTGATGTTGTGAAGTGCACTGAATAAATATTTAAGTGACATCAGGCTATCACCACTCCCCATGTAACAGTGCTATTTCCAATTTTTTTTACATGGAATAGTGTTTCTCATAACAGTCTTGTTTTCTTATTTCTGGAGTGATCATTTCAAGTGATTCATCAAACTTTACTTGTGTTAATCATATAATATTTCTATAGGCAGTTAGATCCTCTGCAACCAAATCTTTTAAAAAAGAGTAATCAAAGCACCCAGTCTTTCTCAGTGATTGATCCACTCATGAACCTGCTTTCTCTTTTGCAAATACTCCAGTTTTTAACATTTGACATTTATTCTGTCAATTCTGCACATGCAAAATAAATCAACTGTTGCAAAAATAACACATATCTCTGATAGCTCATGCAGAGAGCAAATATATCAACTTTGTCCATTCTACTTGGGGCAAGTAAATCAAGAATAGTATAAAAGCTTGTGTGACAAGCTAGTGGTGGCTATTTGACATGGTGATTTAACTTAAGCCTATGTCATACAAGGTAACTAAAGCCATTTTCTGCATTCAAATAAATACATTTAAGATATCATAAATTTAAAGTTTCAAATTATGTAAAGTAAAAGTGATTTTGTTTTTGTGATCTTGAAAAGTCACACAACCTTGTTAGAGTCCTGATGTAAAGATCTTGAAAATTATTTTCAAAGCCAAACCAAAAAAAGTCCATCCAATTCTTCATGCATGACTTCCTATGTAACTACATTAACATATACAGGATGAGTCAAAAGTACTAGATATGTTTTGTTTTATGCCACATGTTAACCACTCAGCAGTGACTGTTGGATATATCCGTCAAGGGAAATCATGTGGCAGTGGTGAAGGATGCCAAAAACTCCCGCAAAAAAAATTCATGTGAAAAAGGAATTACAGTATGTAACAATAAAAAAAAAAGACTTTTCTTTACTAGACATAACTGTTTACAAAATCTTTTTCTGAAATGGTAATGAGAAAAAGCATGAAAAAATTTCCCATGTTTATTCTCCACTATATAAGGATAGCACCATACCTGACTAACCCACTGCTGAAAGGTTAATAAGCATACTGCTCATTAGACATTAGACAAAAAGCTGAAATTAGAAAAAATAGACAATCCCTAAAAAATGTCTGTTACCGGGTTTGTAGATCTGGCTGACAAATCTGAATGACTAATTTAAATCTCAAACAGTTCCATAAATAAGGAAGGGCCCATACTAAGCTTTTTTTTTTTTAACAAATAAAGCAGTCATTGAAGAAACATTCTACATATTTCATTATTAATAAACATTTTTTTTCTGGTACTAGAGAGGTTGAGGCGCACGTTTTAAACATGTAAACGTGTACGTGTGACATTCGGCGCCGCTTTCCCGTAAGCCTAAAAGTTTGACAATGGTGTTTGGATAGTCGGTGGAATCACGCTCGACATTCCAAACATCATCGTCAAACTTTTAGACTTACGGGAAAGCGGCGCCGAACGTCACACGTACACGTTTACACGTTTAAAACGTGCGCCTCAACCTCTCTAATAACATGAATTTAGAGGGGTAGAAACCACTATTGTCCACAGCTTCTCCTCTTGATGGCCCTGGTCTTATATGATTGAGAAAGGAAATGCATTACTATTACTTCTTAGAGTTCCAGTGGCTGCAGTTAATGATCAGATTATATGAGTTTTTAAATAGTCTTTGGCAGCACAAGTTATTACGACTTCTTTCTTGCTGAAAGCAAGAACAGACAAATCAAAAGGCATTACGCATTTACCTCTAGTCCTTAAGTTTCAATTTTTTTATACTATTAATGTCTCAGTCACTGCATAATATGAAATATGCTAGAATCTGTATGTTTGACATACATTGTGATCAGATTTTTACCTAAGCATTGTCATGTTAGGTTTCCATCTTTCTCATATATAAATGCTTGTTGCAAATTGGATTGAATTATTCTCTGAAATCAATACTAGACATTAGATAGGGATTGCTTTAGTAGCTGCAGACAAAGCTTCCCCCCACTTCCTTCTAAACTCTATGCGCGCTAACTGCCACCAATTTGGTGCAAAATAACTAAAATGCCGATTTTTTGGTCAGATCAGTTATCGAAAAAGCTTTTACACTTATCCTGACTACTTTGAAATGGCTAAAAATTTACCATTGCTCAATAACATGAATAAGGAATTGCAAATCGGAGGTGAAGTTGAGTGGGCTAGTGCAAGATAAACTATTAACTGTACAACCAAGGCCTAAAAATATTTTTTATTTAAATTCATATAATCATGAATATGTGGAGTAGGATGACAAATGATTACAATCAAATTTTTCTGCCTCTTTTGTTTTTGTGAAGTCACATTCCAATGTTGTGAAATTATGTTAAGAAACATTTTCTTCATCCATCTTGAAATTGTTTTACACATGTATTATATATAGGCATGCCTTATTCAGATGATATTGGTACAATGTGAAAATAGGAACAAAATTAAATTTTCTGTTTGTAGATCCTGGGCTTTGGTGCTTGTGATGCAGATTTTTTGTGTGATAATCAATCCATTTTCTGTTGTACAAGTTATTGAACATTCTTATAGGGTGGAAGGAGACAAATATCTCTGGAATATTGTTGTTGGCAGTCAGTATATACAGAACCTATTTTCTCAGCTTCCAGCTTTTTCCTAGGCATTCCAAATGAAAATGACTTGTTTCCTGATACACAGAATCTTTCTCAAGCTCATGATTTCATTGAAGCGATAATATTAAAAATCACACAAATTTGAATTACCTGATACATTAAGTTTATTTCCCATACCTAACATAAAGATTTATTATTGGTAACATTACTATTTTACACAAAAGCTTTCCTTTATGAATGCAAACAGAAGCAAATTGGACATTCAGATTAATGCCCATTTGGATTTTTCCTTTTAGGATGGAGGCTGTACTTGTCCGGGTGATGTAGCCAAGGCATTTGGTGCAGGAGCTGATTTTGTCATGGTGGGTGGAATGCTTGCAGGTCATGATCAATCTGGAGGTGACATCATTGAAAAGAATGGAAAGAAGTTCAAATTATTCTACGGCATGAGTTCGGCCACTGCCATGAAGATGTATCACGGAGGTGTGGCTGAGTACAGGTAAGTAGGTACTTCTGATTCTCTTCGTTTTAGTAGACAGGCTGGTTCATTTTTTTTCATTTTAGGGCTTCGGAGGGCAAGACAGTAGAAGTGCCATACCGCGGCAATGTGGAAGCCACTCTACAGGATATCCTGGGTGGCCTGCGCTCTGCCTGTACCTATACTGGAGCAGGAAAACTGAAGGAGTTGCCCCGACGGACGACGTTCATCAGAGTCACTCAGCAGGCAAACGAAATATTCTATAGTGAGACACGTGAAAATTAAAATCTGTCATCGTGCATTTCCTTAACAATAGTTATTTATTTTTAAATTTATTTATTTATTATCTTTGTAATATAATAAACGGTAGACGTAGTGTCGTTCGACAGCTAGACCTAGTCATTTTAGATGGGAGCGCACATCCCTCGATCACTGTGATAACTTCCTATTATTTTCACCTACGAAAATTGCTTGAGAACTTCTTTCAACTGTTGATCATTGTGGTTGTCTCAAGGAGGAATTTTGTCTTTTTTATGGCATATATTCATCCTTTCCAACAAAGATAGAGAAGAGAGATTGCAGCCTAACTAATCAGTTCTAATTTCTGGAGCACAATGTGATTTTTTTTTTTAATGGCATAATCTCTCTTGGTTCAAGTCGTTCGCTACGTTTGCCGTGCCAATTCTTGGTTAGACGCGATGGGAGTGTTAGAGAAGTGCACCTACAAAATAGCCTATTTACTAACGTCCATTTTTTTAAACAAATTAAATATTATTTTAAATGTTAAACTAATACGCAATTTTTTTTTCTTTTGTTTTTTCCCAAGTTCCCTGTTCCTCGTGACCTCCTTCAATAGTCAAAAGTTTAACTGGAAAACCACAGTCGCAGCCTCCCACTCATTAGCGAGACGATCTTATTTTTTTGATATTTAGGCAGAACTGTCATAGATGGAATGTGTCAAGAATTCTGCACACTTTTCTACTATTCCATTTGGTAGCGATGCATCGGAACTTCTGTCATTCCATTCGAGTACCAATATGATAGATGGGCCACTAGATGAATGGGATGATAGAAATTAAGTAATATGTAATTTTAAACGAAATGAATGCATTCTGATTAACAGTATGGTTAGCCTTTTGTAAAGAATCTCTGGCTGATGTTTGCCATTATATTTTTTAATGCCTGTAACAAGAACCAGTTATTTTTGTGTACTTCAAATAATGGTTTGTCTAAAACTGTTTTGTAATCCAATTAAAGTCTGATCATTAATGCTTTGTGAAGAACTTTCTTTCTTTCCATTTGTCACTGCAGGCGGATCGTTTTTCAATTTTATAATAAAGTTGATCAAAATGAATGCATTGTCATGCCTCTCTATTCTTCGTTATACAGAATTTTACAGACTTACAACTTTTCTTTCACCTTTAGGAAAGATAAATGGAGTCTTTATCTCTGTTCAATTGTTTTCTTTATTGCTGAATGCTAGCACAGATTAATTGTCTGCCTCTCACAAAAATTGTTTTATTCTATTAATTGTTTATCAAATGAAACTCGAAGTGACATCTTTGACAAAACTTCTTAGTTGTTGTCATCTCCCTTGTACAAACAGTCATATTTAATTAAACTAACTTTATCCAATATAAAAATGTGCTCACATATGGTAGCTCCAAAATTTTAATATTCCTTTAACCAATTGTAATGCCTAGGACAAACATTAGTTTCAAATGCATGTAGAATCCATGCACTGAATTGATTATTTTGAAAGGCCTGCTTACATACCCTCAATTATTTTCCCAAATTAGATGAATACTTTTCACTATATTTATATCTTATTTAATAATTTTTCAAAAATCTTTAAGTGCCTTTGTTTACATTTTAATTAAAAATAATAATAATCTGCTTTTTCTAAAAACAAGAAAAAGTAAATTTTCCACAACTATTCATAAACATTTAATTTGGGCTAAAGAGCCAATTTTTAGCTGCAATATTACCACTCTCTCTGCATAATAAAGACAATTTACTCTGATATCTGGAGAAAATGAAGTCCTGAATATACTTTGTCAACGAAACACTGTGGGAGATCATTAACAAAAACATCCAAGATGATCTGAGGTAATCCTTGAAGATTCAGAAAGTTTTATTAAACATAAGATATACTTAAGATTTTGGATTTCAACATGTCAAAAGCTTTTTAGAAATCTATATAAACAGTATACAACTTGGTTCACTTTCAGACAAAAATGGCTTATATAAATCCTATCAGAATAAAAAAATTTTTTTAACACAAGCTCCTTAGAAATCAGATACTATAATTATATTGTCATAGGATTTTCATGTTTTTTTAATCCCGTTCAGTCTAACAGCCTTTGTTGTCTCTAAACAAAAAAAAATTGTAGTGCTTTATATATATATATGTGCAGGAGTTATAAGTCCTGACATTACTTTAAGATATGTCAGGAGTTTGAATCCAATGATATCTACATAGAGATCATGGATGATATATTTGGCAATATTAAACATTTTCTAAAAAAATATGGAGTAAAATTAGTTCCAGAATTTTTCACTTTTTATTTCTCAACAATGCTAAAAATAAATTGTTTTCCCATTTTGCAAACTTTTAATTGTCTGTAGTAAAACATGAAAAACACTATTGCCCTGAATACAGTACCAGATTAAATAAATATCTAGCAAGTTTTATGACTGGGTTTCTGAACATCTGGTAAGTGATAAATATGCTAAGGATGCCAAAAGAAAGCAGTCATACAGAGAACTATAGCTATACTACAGCTTGTCATATTCAAAAATAGCCTGTTTTCTAAAGCCTGATATTTGGCCCCTTACTATACTTCTGTGGTTGGATCAGCAGCCTGATCATCCAGTCTAACAATATTTATCAGTAAAAAAATGCCAATTATTACAGTAGTCAACTATTTAAGCCATGTGTCACTGACATGTTTGCCCATTCCTAGCTTAGTATTTGTCAATCTTGCATTCTCTCTACCATGCACTCAGTCATTCTAACTGCCAATGTAAAAGACCAAAGAAGTACTCATTGTAATAAATTGCCAAAGAAATATTCAAATATTCACCTCAACAATGTCTGGCTATATCTGGCAACATTAGCCTTTTCTGGATGTTTGATAGATGGGATGAGGCCACTGGGTCCTGGGAATTGGTGACAATGGTATTTGATGTCTGAAAAATCATGCAGTTCACATTTTATGTCTGCAAGTATCCATTGGTTGTGCACATCACATGCAGAAAACTGCATTCATTGGACATCCTCTTTCTGCTGTTTCTTATCTTGTTCATGGGGGACATTGTTGGGTGGGTTCATGGCCATGATGTCCCCAAGAAAATGTTAAAACTGTGCTAATGGTGTCAGTACTTGGACAGGAACTACATCCCATAGGTGTAAGTACAAATGTAATCCTGCAGGCTCCTGTCCGTCCGTGCATAGTAATTTGATGGACAACTTAAGCCAACAATTTCTGTTCTCAATGTTTTGCATATGGGATCATTGATGTCAATGAATCTGCACAAAAATAAGTCTAGTTTCAATAATGAATCTTCACCTGCTTCAGTAAGTTTCACTAGTTGTTCTTTATCTCCCTTGGCCAGTGGGTTGAACCACAACCCACTGGCTATGGTTCAACTGTATAGTCTGAGAAGCCCAAAATCATACATTCTTGATACTGGATCATCACACTGTTGGAAACAATGATATCTGGAATGATGTACTTCAGCATTTGACACCACAGAACACATCATCTCTTGTTTTCCATCCAAAAAAAATGAGAAAAACACAAATCAAAGGATTTGTGATGGTTTGTTTTAACTGTTCTATATAATGCCACTATAGCATCAGGATCTACTGTTATTGCATGCAGCATGACTGTGTTTATGTGATACATATGTGCAATTTCTTCATTGAATGGTAAGGTGCAATCTAATGCCAAAGCACACATTATGATGTCACTTGTGATATCCATCCTTCTCATATAATCACATACCTAATGTCAATGCTGTTTGGTTCTGGAGAATAAATCACCCAATGTCCATAGAGAAACTTTAATCCGATTGAACACAAACCATCTACCATGTCTTAATGTCAGATAATAATCACCATTTGCACATTATATGTATGATCGTCATCAATCTAATGAAGATTGGTGACACCTGCTGATTTTTCACAAGGTTCTGCACATTGTGGCACAATCTGTACAAAAGTCAGTACAGTAGATCCCCTATAAGACTGGTTCCTATAATTACGATTCCTATAAGACGCCGAAAAAATTGTGGCGGTATCCGTACACAACAGTAAAAAAACTCCTATAATTACATAAAACGTCATCGGGCAGCCAAACTATTTTCCCACCGTCCAGCGCCACGCTACGGACAGTTTAGGCGGGTAAATTGAGTTTAGTTTCATCTGTACATATAATTATATATAAATTAGGTACTGTACATATAATTATATATTAATTATATATAAATTAGGTACTGTATATATAATTATATATTAACTTAATTTATTGTAACTTTATTATAATTATATATATGCTTTCTGCCGCCTGGGGCCACGCTACAGAGAGTTTAGGCGAACTATCGTCTATACAGTATGTAAATTAGGTACTGTAAGTCTAATACAGTACTGTAATTTTATACATTTCTTATTCAATGGCGATAAAAATTATTTATATTAATGATGTCTCCAAAGTTCAGCGAAGTTTTCGCAGAAAAATAACAGAAATCGCGGCCGTGGTTTGCTGAGCTGTTCCGCGATGAAAACAAGCTTGAGCATAGTTGATACGGATTATTTCCAAAAAAAAATATATGTATTTTGGAAATGTTGAGTCAGATTAGTCTAGAATCGATTAATTTTATGGAAGAAAACCTTTCAAACAGCCGTAGTCCGTAAACTTCACATGTGTCAGGCTGTGATTCCTACAAAATCGGATTCATAAAGAACGGAACATATCTACCGTCTTATAGGGGGATCTACTGTGCTGCAGTGGCAAGAGGTTGAAACTGTACCATGCAGCCAAGCATATGTAAGCAGTGGAGGCTAATTGAAAACTCAAAACTAAAATGATCATTTACTTACATGCCAGGACATCAGCTCTTGCATTTTCCAACAGTAGGCACCAAACTTAGTAATTTGACTGTCTTTTGTTAAGCTATCTTGGTTGTATTTTTGTCTCGTGGTGAAAGTTTTGTCAATCTGAAAAGAGAAGTAGAAATATTCGAAACAATCTTATAAAAATCACAAAAACATTACAAAATTGATTACTGTTAAGTTTTTGCATCTTCAAGTATACATAATTTGACATTTGTTGATGTTTGAATATCTGTAGGTATGCCTGAAGATTGTATTGTATTGTACAGGTATGACACAGGATATTGCAACAATGCATAAGATATCAGAGATTACTGTCTTGACCCTGATATCTTATCTGTAGTTGGTACAATACCCTGTGCCATAAATGCACAATTTTATTATTGTTTACAAACTTACAGTAAATCTATTATAATTGTTCTATATTTAGTTATTTCGATGTGTTTTTATAATTCTTAGTACAGTGGTACCTCAGTATACATCTGCTTTCGAATACATCCAATTCAGAATACGTCCTGTTGGACGAAACAAATTTTGCTCGGTATACGACTTAATTCAATTATATGTGCCATCTATGAACAAGTAGCACTATCAGTGTACTAGACCAGACTAGACGTTTGTGGTGCCACAGTTTATAACTTTGTTAAATTTCTTAAGATTTTAATTTGTAAGTAAAATTTTATTATTTTTATTAATCATGAATTGCAAATGAAAAGCAACAGAAAGCTAAAAAAAATGACTAGAATCACAAGAACTGAAAAAAGAGATTGTTGAGAAATATAAAGGTGGCATGCGTGTTCGAGATTTAACTGTTGCATATCGTATTTCAAGAACAACGATATTGACAATCATGAAAAATAAAGACATTATTAATTAAATCTGCTAACATTGCAAAAGGGGTTAAATCAATTTCTAAACAGAGATCGAAGACGACAGATCATGTTGAGAAATTGCTTTTGCTTTGAAAAACAGTGTGCTGGTGACAGC